ACTAAATATTTGGCGTCGATTTAAATATTTATGTTTGTCATGATCATAAAACGCTGTAGTAAAATGACAGATGAGTGCAATAAAATTTTTATTGCACTAGTACAATAAATAGGTAACCTGTTTTATACTAAATATAGTTCAATAAAGTTTTGTTTTTTGCATAAACGTAGAAACAATAATTTAAATACCAAATTGAAAGTAAATATTGTATAGTCGGTTCCAAACCTTTGCGAATTTCGACAAAAAAGAATTAAGTACGATTTTATCAATTTCTCCGTGTACTTTTTCCATTAAAATTATAAATATATTTATTTTACCAATGCCTGTATATCTGGAAAACGTTTCGACTAAATAATTAAAAAAAAGAGTAAAATAATAAATAATATTCCTTTACTATATATGTCTCTGTGACAATTTTGGTAAAAAAAATAATTTTATCATTATGTATCTTTGCCACAGAACAATTTTATTAAGGCATGATGTATCCAATCGTCATAATTTGTCCAAATAACCTGCAATAATTATGTCATGACTCACCCTGTAGGTAAAGTTAAAGAGAATTAAGGAGAACGTATATCAAAAAAATGTGGTATTTTAAGATTAATTCGGTGACACAACAATTTTCACTATTTTCGCAATATTCTTAATGAAAATGATACTACTTACTATTTTTGATCAATTTAGGGTCTATTCTCACTATAGGTCAAGCCACGATCAAGTCACGGTCCTGTCTCGATCCGATCAAAAATGATTTGTCATAATTTTAATGATTTTAAACCGTTCACATATGTCGGTCATAGAACAAGCAAGCCACGGTCAAGTCACGGGCCGATCATTTCCAACAATATTTGACCGAACCGTAACTGACCGTTGACGCGCAGACCGTCTAGTTTGGATGTCGGCAGTATCGAAAAGGATAGAGTAATTACTGTATATGTTTAGATTTTCTTTAAAATGGCTGTTGTAAAAAAATCATCTGAAAACGATCTTAAACTGAAAATTTTTGAGCTGGGGAAATCGATTCCCTAAATTCCCATTTTTTGCAGTTCATCTTTAATTGTCAAAAATATGTTTTAAAATTCTTCAATTTTCATTCTATAATAAACCAAAAAATTTGTTTTTCATGAAACGTAAAAAATTCGCATTAAATTTTTCTTTTTTTAGCATTGGATGTACCCAAAATCTTCTTTTTTGATTTTTTATATTTTTTGCTGTTCTTCTTTCACATCCAAAATAAATGCGAATTTAATTAATGAAGTTAAAAACATTTTTTAATATCGCGAAGTAAAAACACTCATGCACGATTGCCTGCTGTACGTTGGAAAAACTGGTCGAATATGACGATGACATGACCCGATAGTGTGAATCTTTCAAAAAAATTTGATCGTGACCAGACCGTGACTTGACCGTGCCTTGTCCAGCTAATGTGGCTAGACCTTTAACTGCGGCAAAACCAAAATAACCAATGTTAATATAAACATATTGTGTATTATTATGAAAATAAAGCATTTTTTATATAACCTCAATTTTCTTAAAAAAACCTCTATTATTATCTATAGCTATGTTGCCAATTTTTTAAGTGCTTGTATTTGATAAAATATCGGACAATCCATAACACTATCGATGGTAACGTACGGCAATCGAGTGTTAATTACATACAAATTATTAATTTATTTCGTTTCCTAAAAAACTCTTTTACATTTAATTTCCAACCATATCCGGCGATTTATATATTCATTTTAATTGAATTGTAGAACATATTGACTAAATATTAATATTACATAATCTCTAAAATACGTTTCGAAAACTTTTAAACTTAATTACTTTGTGTAATCCAAAAGTTTTTAAACTTTTTTTGAAATATGAAATTTATTTTAATATGAATTGTCAACCAATGCCTTTAACAATTAAAGAGGATAGCTGAATTCGTTCAATTTCTGCTGAGTCAGCCGTGACGTGACGTTCACCACTGGATGCTTTCAACGGTTCAGCCGGAACTCATTTAAAATATACATCGATATAATACAACTTTTTAATTCTATTTATTTTTAAACTAAAAGGTATTTCAGATATTCAAAATATCATTTTAACCAGAGAAAAAATTACAGACATCCCAAAATTACAGGAGTAAGTAAAATAGGTAATAAATCGAAATACTGCCGCCATGTTATCTAAAAATATTTCTCAAATAACACATATTTGAGAAATTTGACATGCTAGTTATAAGATAGTTACAAGTCGAAATTTATATACAAAGTGTACAAAAATTAATGCAACTACTAATAAAATTAAATTTCTGATAGATTCACAAAAAAGTTTTGAATAAAAGTTTTATAAAATTATTTAAGTTATCAATATAGTTAATAGGAGATATACTGGATTGGTCATTATTCCAAAATCAAGCAAGAATATATTTTTACGTACTGTATTAAACTTAAAATAAAACTGCATTGTGCTAACTTTATTAGCTCGAATACAGGGTGTACTATTAAAAAAATATATAGGTACTTGCGTTATTTTGAAGTAATAGTACGCCTAGTATATTTCTAACTGAATTATACCGATATAACTTGATTTATTTCATAAAAATTTTATCCAAAGCGCTTTTTGTAAATCTATTAGAATTCAAAAAATAAAAAAGTTATGGACGACGTTTTGAAATTCATGCTCGTCCTTTTTACATTTACACCATAAGAGCACGCTACGCTCGTCTCGCCCACGTCCTAACCACTACAGAATACAGCGGGTGAAGCCAATGAGGTGTGAAAAGACCGTTGGTGGGACAAGCGTAATTCTTATGGCGTAGGTGTAAAATTGGCACCGCCGCTCGCTTCGCTCGCTCCTTCCTCTAGTAGTAAGGCCGTTGTTGGGACAAGTGTAACTGACTCTTATGGTGTAGGTGAAAAAGCCAAGCGCACTCCCTTCGCTCGCTCCTTTCTTTAGTAGCGAGGCCGTTGTTGGGACAAGCGTAGCTGACTCTTATGGTGTAGGTGTAAAAAGGGCGCACTCGATTCGCTCGCTCCTGCCTCTAGGGTTAAGGCACAGCCACCTAAAACTAATTTTAGGAGGCTATGGTTAAGGCCGTTGGAACGAGCATAGCTGTTATGGTGTACGTGTAAAAAGGATGCGCACAAATTTCAAAACCCCTGCCAAGCGTGTTAGCTTCTAAGGTAGTTGGGACGTGGTAGGACGAACGTGCTTTCAAGGTGTAGGTATGTCAGGAACCGTTTATATTTTGTTTATGAAATAAATCAAGTCATCAGTGCAAGTTAGTTAGAAATATATCGGGTGCACCATTACTCAAAAATGACGAATGGATGGCTATTGGCTAATAAAGTTAGCACAATGTTATTTAAACGGTTTTATTTTAAATTTAATTTATTAATACTGGTCAACCCAGTATATTTCTTATCAAGCACGAAGGTTTACTTCTTATTAACTTGATTTATTTCATGAAACTTTAATCAAAACTTTTCTGTAAACTCATCAGGAATATAGGAAGTTAAGTTACTTTTTGTTCACTCTGTATATAAATTTCGACTTTATCATGTCAAATTTCTTAAATATGAGTGTATTAAAAAGATGTTTAGAAAACATGGCCATAGTATTAAAATTTATTACCTTCTATTTACATATTTATTTACTTCTATAATTTTCAGATGAGTAAAATTTTCTCTCTGGTAAAATGATCTTCTTAATATTTGAAATATCTCTTAGTTTAAAAATAAACAAAATAAAACGTAATATAAAAATAAGGTGTATTGATGTACGTTTTAAATGGGACGGCTGAAAGTTTTCAGGGTTGACGTCACGCCGCGCCGGACTCAGTAGAAATTGAATGAATTCAGCCGAATTCATTCAGGATAGCCATTCTCTTTAGTTGATATAGTCAGTGACTTTGGTTGACAATTTATTTGTCAGACTAATTAATTTTCTTGTTTGAAATTTTAAAAACTTTTGGATAACCCAAAATAATTATTGTTTATTATTTTATAGATGAAGTAATATTAATATTTAGTTAATATGTACAATTTAACCAAAATGGATAAAAAATCGCTGGATGTGACTGGAAATTAAAAGTTAAAAGCAACGAAATAAATTAATAAAAGTAGTGCTATTTAAAGTGTTTGGAAATGTTTGGCCAAAAATAAGATACTTTGTGGGGTTTCCGGTGGCATATTTAAAAAGTACTATTTTTCCTAATGCCTAAAATGAAAGTATAAAAAAAAATTGGATTATTAAGAAAAATATATTATTATATTCCCAATAATTACCTTTTCATGCGTGATATGAGCATTGTTTTAATATGTATTCGATTCATAAAAGTACCTGATCGATTCTGTCAATTATTAATCTAGATTTTATTATAAATTAAAATGTCTGGCAAGCTTGCTTATACTTTACACGAAAGTCAAAAAATCTTAGGTTAGAATCACCAAAATTCGCAAGTTTTAACTCAAATTTCTCTATTGTTTATGCTTAACCCGCAATGTTTTTTTTATATTTTATATATACACTTAATACTATTTTCTAGTTCAATTTTTTTTTCGAAATTCGTGTGTCCGTTACGTTGAAAGGCTCCATTAATCCTTTATTGAAACCGTAAATAATGCTTTTACTTGAATTAAGATTACAAATAATGAAAACAAGTGGATAAAGGTTTACATTTTCATTTTTTTTAAGGCCCTTAAAATATGCTATATTTTTGCGATAATTCTGATTTCCAATTTTAACAAATGACCTATTCATCAGATAGGAAGGTGTCATGAACCACATATATCATCATATTGCAAATTGTAAAACTTTAAACTTGTTTTTCTCGAAATAATCTTTTTGTGACACGACACCTTTATCCACTTGTGTCTTCAATTATTATTGTAAATTCATAATTAGAAACATTTATTTATAATAATTGATCATTTATACAAATTTTCACGAAAATATATAAGATAAGCGTACCCTATAATTTTTTTTATAAATAAACAAAACATAAATCTTACCCTGCGGAATAAACTTCTTCAGTGCTACTCCAACCAACACAAGTTACCGGAGCTTTATGGGAGGGCTTTTCGGCAAGCGTAATTTTGAATCTCATTTTTATTTATTTATTTTAAACCCACAACACATTTACAACTAAATAAAACTCATCTTTCTACTCAGAAGACGTCAGGCAATATTTACGTTTGTTTGTATTGAAGTTGTCAAGACGACATTGAAGTTAGAATACGCAATCCTAAAGTATAAGGGGATAAGTCAATAATTACTAGTGTATGTCGCTGTCGTTAGGTAATCTACCCCTATCACATATGGCATACAGGGTGTCCCATTAGTTAGTTCGATAAATCAATTTGTGTTACAGATACACAAACAAGGTTTAAATAAGAGTTATATGGATTTTAAAAAGGCTTATTTAAAAAATATTTTTCGATATACAGGATGTTACACTTTTGCCTGACAAATAAAAATATACATTTTTCAAATTGAATGCCCTGTATTTTATTTTAGTTTTAGAATGATCTAGTAATACTGTATTTTGAGCTAAATATTTTTAAAAAATATTACAGGTTTGCCAAGCAATTAATTATTTTGTGAAATTTCGGAATAATGCATACCCCAAATTAAATTATCATAATTTACCGAGGATTGTAAATTTGTTTTAAATACAGACTTATAAGATACCAAGCTAACGAATAGTGGTGATAGAACTGGTTTATTTTATACAGGGTGGGGTGTCTTGAAACATGTCTTAAATATGGCTAACTTTAAGTTCAATTTACTTAATCTTTTCAAATGGAACATCCTGCATATTATTTTAGCATAAAATTCCATAAATCTTTATCTATCCGACGATAACAACAGGTTAGTCAATTATACATATACAGTGTATCCCATCAGTGCGTATATGATCGATAGCTGTTTTATTATTGGAGAAACGAACACATTTTTAATACAAACGTTTTAGGAGAATATTTTGAAATTAGCCTTTTTCCTGGGAAGATTTAAAAAAGATCCACTAGAGGCAGCACCGGTGGGGGGTACATATGTTTCGAATTCTTTATTGACAACAACGTCAAACGTACGTTTTATTAATATTAGAATAAATAAATATTGTGATAAATAAAATTAAAAAACAAATTGTCATGCCTACAAAACATTGTGCATTTGCAAATTGTACGTCTGACAATCGTTACAAGCAAAATGGTGTAAAATTTGTGCCTTTTATAAAACCACAAGTTGACAAAAAAAAGTGTTTGAAGTGGATACATTTATCACGAAGGGCAGATTTAATAGCTGAAAAAATAAAAAAACATACTTTAATTTGTACAAGACATTTTATTAATTCAAATGGACCAACAATAGAAAACCCAAATCCATTGCCAGCGACAGTTTCAAAGGTTAGTAATTGTTTATTTAAAGAGGTTATATTTTATATCAGTCTACATATTATTATCATTATTGATAGTAAATAATGAACTTAAACTTCTTTTTAATTGTGTATGAAATATAAAAGACAGCAACGATGTATTGAAGAGGACTCAATCACTGGAAAAAATAAACATCAAAAACTTATCTGTTCTACTGTTACTGATGTTGAATCACTAAAAATTAGTAATAAACATGCTAATAGTAATCAAGAATCCCAATTAAATGATGATTTAGCCTCTGATCTTGCACTTTTGTAACTTTCAATTTCGCTCATTTTCCGTTCATTTCCATTATAAATCTATACGTTTGACATTGTTGTTAATAGAAAATTTATAACATATGTACCCTCCACCGGTGCTGCCCCTATCGGATCTTTTTTAAATGTTCCCAGGAAAAAGGCTAATTAATCTAAAATATACAGGGTAGTCCATAAATCAGGGACGAACCAAACTTTTATTAATATATATATGCCTAAATGCGAGATTTCGATATTTTAAATTTCAAATGCAATACCCTGTATGCTATACCTCCAATTTATAAATAAATTGCTTTATTTTTTATTTTGTTTGGCATTGCCTATACCCAAACGCATTTTTTTTCAATACTTTGATATTTTTATCTTTGTAAAAAATAAAACGTTATATTAACCTATTCGAAATCTCCGCGATCCAAAGGCTTGTAAGCTACTGGCTAATGTATTCTCCGTCTTTAAGCTACTGGCACATACAAGCTACTGCCATGCAATTTTACTTGCAAATGTATCCTCGGTCTGCAAGCTACTGGCACATGCAAGCTACTGGCATGCAGGCTACTAGCACAATTTGCTTGCATGTGTATCTCCGGCTTTATGCTAGTAGCTTGCATTCCAGAAGCTTGCATGTGCGTGCCAGTAGCTTGCAGACTGAGGATACATTTGCAAGTAAAATTGCATGCCAGTAGTTCGTATGTGCCTGTTTCTTGAAGACGGAGGATACATTTGCAGTTAAAGTGCATACAAATTTTCAGGAACGCGGTGATTTCAAAAAGGTTCGAAGTAAATTAATAATACAACCTAAACGGAACAGATTTGATATAGGCATTTTCACGTGCTATTTTAATTTTATACAAAGATGAATTACCCTAATTATTATTATTATTATTAATATTATTATTATTATTATTATTATTATTATTATTATTATTATTATTATTATTATTATTATTATTATTATTATTATTATTATTATTATTATTATTATTATTATTATTATTATTATTATTATTATTATTATTATTATTATTATTATTATTATTATTATTATTATTATTATTATTATTATTATTATTATTATTATTATTATTATTATTATTATTATTATTATTATTATTATTATTATTATTATTATTATTATTATTATTATTATTATTATTATTATTATTATTATTATTATTATTATTATTATTATTATTATTATTATTATTATTATTATTATTATTATTATTATTATTATTATTATTATTATAATTTGATAAGAGCAGGGGCCATAAGACCCATAAGCTCATATTAACTGAATATAAAACAATATTACTAAAAACAATGAAACAAATGAAATGTTAATTAAAAAATAGAAAATTATCAAGTTCGTTCTTGAAAACATTGACAGATGGAGCATTTACAACATTCTCCGGTAGAGAATTCCAAGTGTGGAATATTCGATTAAATAAAAAGTTTTGCCTCGTTTTCGTAAAAAATTGTTCTTTTTTCAGCTTCCATTTATGGCCACGTAGTCGATTTTCACTGTCCACGATGAACATACATTTTAAATTTCCAAAATTATATTTTAAAATACGAAAACAAATTATCATGTCACCCCGCAGACGGCGATTTTCAAACGTTTGTAGCTCAGCCATATGTAGTATCTCTGCGTAATTAGGTCTCATACGTCCGAAAAATAGTCTGGTTGATCGGCGCTGAACATTTTCAAGAATATTTTTATCCCGCACTAGTTCCGGACACAACACAGCTCCGCAGTACTCGATAATCGGACGAATGTATAATTTATACAGCCAGATAGAATTTTGAAAAGACACTTTTGTGAATGTTTTCTTTAATAAGTACATTTTCGTGTTCGCCTTTTTTGACACTTGAAGAACGTGCTCAGACCAGCTGAGATTTTCAGTAATTATAACACCTAGATCATTGTAAGATTTAACTTTATTTGTACTATCTATATAAACGAATCAACTTTATCGTCTTTTTATCTCCTCACCGAGACATGATGAGGTAACAAAACAAAAAAAAACAAAGCTAGTTGTGATGATGATCACAAATTGCAGGCATGCTAGTAATTGTCATCTGTGTTAACACATCCAATTTGACATGCAGTTTATATTCTCCACCACCCAACTTGCACATTGCATGCCAAAGAATCAAATCTTGTTCAATCTACTTGTATACAAGCTACTTGCGAGCAAGTTAACAGATACACATTCAAGTAGTTGACATACTAGTATACAAGCTACGGGCATGTGTATCTCCGGCTTAATTAATTAATTAATTCATAATTAAGTCCTTTTTATTGCAATCATTCAGATTCTGTTCATTATTACGCAGACAGAACTATTGCATTGGCTTCCGCATTGGCTGTCACATTAGAAAGAAGAAGACAGCTGCTAATTTGAGTGGGGATGGTGTGCGAGTATGCGAGTAAGTTTATCTAAGGAGTGAGCATGCATTTAATAAATAAATCAGTATTATGAAGACTAGAGAGAAGGAGGCGAATGGGCAATGGTCAAATTTCAAATTTCCGTCCTCCTTTTTATAGGTTCGCGAAATTAACTGTAGTTGGCATGTCTAATAACAGTGGAGTCAATTTTCTATGAAAATCAATGTAAAATGAAGTGATTTTTATAAAAATTGGTGAAAAGAATCAAAATAATGTGAAAAAAAAGTACCTGAGTACAAGTAACATGAGTGACAAAAAACATCAATGCAAGATTTATGTCGTTCCAGATTGTAAAACAGGATAAAAATCATATGTAAAACTAAAGAAAACACAAGAAGAAATCAATTCAATGTCTTTTTCAAGCTTCTAATGTAAGTAAAGTAAGGTATTCATGTCTAAATATAATATTTATTGTAAACTAGCCACAATATGTATCTTACGAATTGTAGTTTATTTTATTACATGTTCCTATAATATAAAATTTTACAGTTATAGATGCTGACTTACAAACAACAATAATTATGCATTCAATTTAACTTACTAAAAAAAATATTTTTTATAGAGTTTTAATGATAGATAAAGAGTTGCTACTGATATATTTTTTTGTACTCCAATTGTGTCATTGTAAATGTTTTTTATAGGATACTAAAGGTTTAGAATAGTGGCAGCATATATATCGTTCCTTATGCCGATAAAGCACTTTCTAGAGATGATGTTGTTCTATACTTTTTAGAAGATATTATCAAATATTATGAGACTATTTTTACTGAAAGTACTATTAGCAAAATAAAAAGGCGAAAGCTGAAATTAAAGGATTAGGTAATACCATGTATATTCCCAAATCTCCCTTTATATTTGTATTACAACAATAAAAAATCTGTTGACTGTGTTTTATTTTACTCTTAAAACTATACAGTATGGTTCAAATGAAAGGAATAAATTCATTATAATGGAAGTAGTTAGTTTTTCGAAAAAATGCTCAGACAGGTCAATTTTGTTTACTTAAAGCGCAATTTTTTAAATAAAACTCAATTTTCTCCCACTTTCCATTTTTGGGCAGTGACGTCATTGACAATTTTTTT